CATCCACCCCCCCGTCCGTCCATCCATTTGTCCAGCCCATCCATCTGTCCGTCCATCCATCCATCCATCCACCCCCCCGTCCGTCCATCCATTTGTCCAGCCCATCCATCTGTCCGTCCATCCATCCATCCATCCACCCCCCCGTCCGTCCATCCATTTGTCCAGCCCATCCATCTGTCCGTCCATCCATCCATCCATCCACCCCCCCGTCCGTCCATCCATTTGTCCAGCCCATCCATCTGTCCGTCCATCCATCCATCCATCCACCCCCCCGTCCGTCCATCCATTTGTCCAGCCCATCCATCTGTCCGTCCATCCATCCATCCATCCACCCCCCCGTCCGTCCATCCATTTGTCCAGCCCATCCATCTGTCCGTCCATCCATCCATCCATCCACCCCCCCGTCCGTCCATCCATTTGTCCAGCCCATCCATCTGTCCGTCCATCCATCCATCCATCCACCCCCCCGTCCGTCCATCCATTTGTCCAGCCCATCCATCTGTCCGTCCATCCATCCATCCATCCACCCCCCCGTCCGTCCATCCATTTGTCCAGCCCATCCATCTGTCCGTCCATCCATCCATCCATCCACCCCCCCGTCCGTCCATCCATTTGTCCAGCCCATCCATCTGTCCGTCCATCCATCCATCCATCCACCCCCCCGTCCGTCCATCCATTTGTCCAGCCCATCCATCTGTCCGTCCATCCATCCATCCATCCACCCCCCCGTCCGTCCATCCATTTGTCCAGCCCATCCATCTGTCCGTCCATCCATCCATCCATCCACCCCCCCGTCCGTCCATCCATTTGTCCAGCCCATCCATCTGTCCGTCCATCCATCCATCCATCCACCCCCCCGTCCGTCCATCCATTTGTCCAGCCCATCCATCTGTCCGTCCATCCATCCATCCATCCACCCCCCCGTCCGTCCATCCATTTGTCCAGCCCATCCATCTGTCCGTCCATCCATCCATCCATCCACCCCCCCGTCCGTCCATCCATTTGTCCAGCCCATCCATCTGTCCGTCCATCCATCCATCCATCCACCCCCCCGTCCGTCCATCCATTTGTCCAGCCCATCCATCTGTCCGTCCATCCATCCATCCATCCACCCCCCCGTCCGTCCATCCATTTGTCCAGCCCATCCATCTGTCCGTCCATCCATCCATCCATCCACCCCCCCGTCCGTCCATCCATTTGTCCAGCCCATCCATCTGTCCGTCCATCCATCCATCCATCCACCCCCCCGTCCGTCCATCCATTTGTCCAGCCCATCCATCTGTCCGTCCATCCATCCATCCATCCACCCCCCCGTCCGTCCATCCATTTGTCCAGCCCATCCATCTGTCCGTCCATCCATCCATCCATCCACCCCCCCGTCCGTCCATCCATTTGTCCAGCCCATCCATCTGTCCGTCCATCCATCCATCCATCCACCCCCCCGTCCGTCCATCCATTTGTCCAGCCCATCCATCTGTCCGTCCATCCATCCATCCATCCACCCCCCCGTCCGTCCATCCATTTGTCCAGCCCATCCATCTGTCCGTCCATCCATCCATCCATCCACCCCCCCGTCCGTCCATCCATTTGTCCAGCCCATCCATCTGTCCGTCCATCCATCCATCCATCCACCCCCCCGTCCGTCCATCCATTTGTCCAGCCCATCCATCTGTCCGTCCATCCATCCATCCATCCACCCCCCCGTCCGTCCATCCATTTGTCCAGCCCATCCATCTGTCCGTCCATCCATCCATCCATCCACCCCCCCGTCCGTCCATCCATTTGTCCAGCCCATCCATCTGTCCGTCCATCCATCCATCCATCCACCCCCCCGTCCGTCCATCCATTTGTCCAGCCCATCCATCTGTCCGTCCATCCATCCATCCATCCACCCCCCCGTCCGTCCATCCATTTGTCCAGCCCATCCATCTGTCCGTCCATCCATCCATCCATCCACCCCCCCGTCCGTCCATCCATTTGTCCAGCCCATCCATCTGTCCGTCCATCCATCCATCCATCCACCCCCCCGTCCGTCCATCCATTTGTCCAGCCCATCCATCTGTCCGTCCATCCATCCATCCATCCACCCCCCCGTCCGTCCATCCATTTGTCCAGCCCATCCATCTGTCCGTCCATCCATCCATCCATCCACCCCCCCGTCCGTCCATCCATTTGTCCAGCCCATCCATCTGTCCGTCTGTCCATCCATCCCATACACACCCACCCACCCTGTCCTTCCGTCCACCTGTCCATCCATCCATCCTTCCTCCCATCCGTCCATTCACCCACCTGTCCATCCATCCATTCATTCAACCCATCCACACCCATCCAACCCCCCCGTCCGTCCATTCATCCAACCCGTCCATCTGTCCGTCCATCCATCCATTCATCCAACCAATAGACACCCACCCACCCATCCTGTTCTTCTGTCCACCTGTCCATCCATCCAGCCGTCCATCCATCCATGCCCCTGTCCATCCATCCACGCAGATTTTCTGCCTGGCTCTATCCACTAGGCCCCACACTCCTCCCAAGGAGTCCTGGCTCCTAACCCCCTGCCCGGCTCTAACCACCGGTCCTTCCATCCACCTGTCCATCCGTCCATCCATCCATCCACCCGTCCTTCCGTTGTCCACCTGCCCACGTATCCACCCACATTTCCATCCATCTTTTCTTCCATCCATTCATCCATCCACCCACCCACCTGCCTGTCCATCAGTCGATCCATCCATCCCCATCTGTCCATTCCTCCCCAGACACGTGCATCCATCCATCCATCATTGAGTTTGCAGATGACACTAAGCTAGGGGGAGAGGTAGATCCGCTGGAGAGCAGACGGGGTCCAGAGTGACCTTGACAGATGGGAGGGTTGGGCCAAAAGAAATTGGAATGAGGTTCAACAAGGACCAGTGTAGACTCCTGCCCTTGGGCCGGAAGAATCCCAAACATTGTTACAGGCTGGGGACCGACGGGCTAAGCAGCCG